CTACGTACTTTGATAGAACAGCTAAACCAAAAAATGATAGAGTAATTTATCTCTTATTAAGAGAAAGTAGCCACTAGCATCATGAATCCCCAAATTGGCAAGCTTCCCATGGTGTCCAAATTGGAGAAGAAAATACAAGACACACACACACACACACACACACACACACACACACAAATGGATGTATTGGGATCAGCATCAGCAGTCAGCAATCTGAAGAACCCACAAGATGGTCCACTAGGCAAGTCATCCATAAGTTGCTGCTTAATAATTTCATTCATTAAATAGAGAATACCTCCCACACCAGTGACACTGATCAAGGATACCCGTTTAGATTTAGCAAGAGCAAAAACTCAACCTCTATCTATTAAACCATAAAAATTTTGGTGTTAATTGCATTAACTAATAGGGAAAGTTTAAAATGTAGAGCACAGGACCATGTTTAAAATACATGTAATTAATTGTAATTAATTGGCTTTTCACTGTATGTTGTGAGGTTTTATAGGTTGCTTGGGCCTTGACAGTACAATCAGCTCCTGAAATTTGATTATCCCCAATATGCCTAGTAATCTGGTCTCTGGAAGTCTGGCCACTCTTGAGATGACATAGGTCTACATCCTATTGGCCTGTATAGGGAAGGATTTGGTTACCACCTCTGCATGGTTTACCAAATATTTATATAGAACTTTACAAGTTACAAATGAAGTTCTATGCCCAAGATTGTTCAGCTAGGGAGTAGAACAGAAATGACAAAAAGGTAGCTTTTTTGGCTGCAGATATACATGTAAAAGGAGTAATAACTCTATTGCCCAGGTTACCCCTGACCAGGCCCTGAGCAGCTGATAGTCCCCAGTACCATAACAGCAACAACAACAAAATCCTGAATTTTTAAATTATTTCCTAATTTTCTACTACTGATGGAAAACTACAGATGCTCTTCAATTTATAATGGGGTTATATTTCTATAAACTCACATAAATTGAGAGTATAAATTCCTATTTATTACATGTAATCTACCAAACAAAATACATAGCATAACCTACCTTAAATGTGCTCAAACACTTTATGTTAGCTTACAGTTGCACAAATCTAGCACAAAGCTTGTTTAATAATAAAGTGTTGAGATGAATGTGATCATTGTATATATCTAAATTGTATTAATTTAGTACTAATAAACTTAATTAATTAAAAAAGTATGATCCAAGCATTAAAAATATAAACTGCTGAATATCTCATGTAGTTTATTGAATGCTGCACTGAAAATGAAAAAATAGAATAGTTATATTCTACTGTAAGTTATATCTTTGCACTACTGTAAAGATAAAACATCTTGAACTGAATCATCATAAGTCAGGCACCATCTGTATTCAGTTATGATTTCTGGGAAAAAATATGGACCGATGTACTATTTTGACCCAGGTCAAGAGATGATTCAAAAGTGTCCAGAAGACTTTCTGTCTCTAAGCTGATTTTAGAATCACTTTTATGGTGGGGTGAAAGGCAGAGGTGATTTTTATTTTACTATGATTTGTTTTATCTTGAAGGAAATATTTAATTCATTAATGAAGAAATATCTGCAGTGGTTGTCTTTATCTTATGATCTACATCATCTTACATCAGGCTTTGTGGCGAGAAGGTCTGAGCCTCCAAGTCTCTTGAGACAGCCCCATGGGTTCAGTCCAGAGTCTGTTTCACCCATTATTAATATAAACTGCTGAAACCTGTCCACTGATGTAAAACATTTGAAGAGGAAGGGAGACTAAGCAGATATATAAGTTTGCTTGCCTTAGTAAAATACATAACACATAATAGACACGTAACATACATATATTTGTAGGATATATCTACTAAGTATCTGTATTTAGAAAGAATTGTCTCTGTCTCTCTCTCTCTAACCTATCTTAATCAACATTGATTCCTTTTCAAAAATTTTTTCTTAGTATCAAAAGGTAAATGTAAGGTAATTCTGCATTTCAGTACCATGCAAAGAGAATGTAAAGGCCATGGTATAATGTGTCTTCAGATGCACACTTTAAATCCAGCATTAGTTCTGTGACAGACTGAAAACATTTGGGTAGAGGGTCAGAAAATAATGAACGTCTAAGTTTGTGATTCATTTTATCATAAGAAATAAGTGGTTTCATGAAATAGTCATGGCTTACCCTACCACAATGTACTGTCTTCAGACATCATTGCTTCAACTACTAGATCAAAGCATGAAAATTTTATGCCCTTTTCCACAGAAATAGCTGTTTTCTTTTGCTTTAATGTACAAACTGTTCTTTTCACAGATCATCTGGTCAGGTTGCCTTACTAGAATGCCTACAAGTGTGCAAGAAAATGTAAAGGGGTTGTATTGCTAATCAGGAAGTGTTACAGTAAAGTCTGCTTGTAGATATAATGATATAGCATATTCAAGCCCATTATATTGTACTAGCACAAGTATTTATGGAATATAAATTGTGTTTGCTTGCTGTTTTTCATAAGAAAAAAAGAAAAATGATTGTACAAGAATTTTTCATCCCCTAGTAAAAGTAAAGATGCTTATAGCTTGTGACTCAGTGTGTCACTCTCCTAGGAATACATTCTAGAAAAAATCTTATGTTTGAACACTCAGAGGCACAAGAACATAACAGTAAAAAACTCAATCTAAATCTGTATCTCAGTTTGTTTGTCTAAACAAACTGACATCTCAGTTTGTTTCTATAAACAAACTGAGACGTATACAATGGAATATTTCACAACAATGAAAATAAATGAATGGATTACAAGTTATACAACTCAGCCACACAATATTGAGTAGAAAAAATGTACGCCATAGAAAAATGCACACAATATTATTCATTTTACATAAAGACTAGAGACATGAAAAATAACAATGTATTGGGGATGAATTCAAACATGTTTAATGAAACTACCTAGAAGAGCAAAAAAATGATAAATTCAACTTCAGGATATTGTTTGCCTCTGTGGGAGAAATAAAGGAGATGGGACTAGGGAAGATAATATAAAAATCAAAAGTAATGATCTTTTCTTTTTCTCAAACTGAGTGGTAAGTACACAGATGTATACCATATTATGTTCTGTTAAATCCTCACATATGTTTTATAAACCAATAAAAAGAGAAATAGTGTAATTTAACTTTTTTCTTCCCTAGAATTTGATTCTCTTTATAGTTCAATATGTAAAATAATAATTTATGCCAAATTTAATGCTATGATTTGGGGAGGAAAAAGACTATTGTTTGCTAACCTCTAACCAAATATGTTGACTTTGTAACAATGAATTTTCAGTTACTAGTTTTTTGCATAGCAAATCTTTTTGGTTTGTCCAATTATTAGTGGTGTTAATAATAGAATATTTTACTAAGAATATTTTTGATGAAATTACATTACAGAAATATTTTCTTCAATATTCCAAGATCAAGGTAGAAACATAGCAAAGGCAAAAAAAAAATCATAAGATCAGATCTAATCCAATCACAACGTTAAAGGACACAAACATTGACATCTGTAAATCATTTTTACTGTACCAGTCACAGAACCCAGACAGCGGTTTTCTTCCTTACCAGAAGAAAATGAGACACTCTGGACAATGAATTTCCCCAGGAAGGTAATTCCAAGTTCAGACTTAACTGCCTCAGAACTGAAAGGAGCTAAACGGTGATCAGCATAGTTAACAGGGAACCCTGGAAATACACTCAGCCCACAAGTCCATTTCCAAATGGGAGCATCTGTGCCTGATGCCCAGAAAGGAATAGAAAATGAATGGAGAATGTATTCTAGGGAAGATAAGTATCAGGCAGCTACCAAGAAGTGGTGAGTTTTGGAATTTAAGATTTTCCTTAAATCTTGAAGATCTACAACAATAACCGGACTGAAATTATAAAGTAGATCTAGAACTCAGCCTCCCTGATATCATCATGTCCTTGCAGTGGACAAAGGAGGCAGTACAAGGCAGCTGTCAGTTTTTGTAAAACGGAGGTGATGACTCCTACCTTTCAGTGTTGCAGAGATTAAATGTTCCATTGTTATTGTCACTAATCTATCCTGTGTTCTGTAGACGGTGTGATCATTCTAAAATATAACTGCCTCTTCCTCAGTTTAAAACTCAACTATTGGTTCCCATGGTTCACGATAAGCCCTCAAACCCCTTAACATAACTTAACAGGCTTTTAGTGATCTGGACTCCTGCTTCCCTTGCCAGCCTCATCTCCTGTGGCCCTTGAGCCACACTGAACTAATCCAGTTCCCCAGCTCCCACGCCCTTCAGCTTTGCCTGCAACACACTTCTCCTCACCCTTCTTCATCAAAAACTCCTGTTGCTCTCCAGAGACCGGCTTAGCAATCTAAAATGGGAAACTTTGTATTATGTGTGTTTTATATATACACACATATTTTATAAGATCTATATATCTAGATATATATTTGATGTATATATGAGTATACATTATGTATTTGTAGATATATGTATGTATATGGTTATGTGTATCTTTGCATACAGACATTTTATTAGCTCATATGAAGTCATGTATACTTTATGCTACCTTATAATATCAACCTTAAAACTGTTTTCAATATTTTCTGCATATCAGCACAATGTACCTATATAGTTTACATTAAACAATAACATCAACCGATTTACTGCTTTATGGAAGCAATTTCAAAAAATATGGCAGTTAGTATAACATCTGTTGGGAAATAACTATGTTATATGTACATTTTTATAATATGTCATAGTTTAATATAAAGTATACCAATCATAAAAATGCCAGACTAACAATAATTTTACCACAAATCAGGGTAGAAACAAGAAGTTTTCTAACTGTCAGTCAACAGTAGGTGATACCAGAAACCAGATCACAGAGGAAGGATGCAGAGGAACTGCCAGTAATTTTAGAGGTCATCATGAACCTGCATGCTGTCCCTTTTTGCTTCAACTAGCAAACCATCAGCATTGACAACTGGCTTCTATGACTTCACCCAGAGGACACCTCTTACCTCAGCATCAAACCGTGGGTCCTGGTACGCATCACTGATGTTTACAGGAAGGCCTGTTGAAGCAACTAGCTCGGCAATGCTATTATTTATTAGCCAGTCAGAATATGATGATTTCTCCATGCTCTCTTTGAAACTGTCAGAACACAGGGCAGGCAGTAAAAAAAGAGAACTGTAAGTTTGTTTGAAATAAAATGCTATAAAACTATACTAATTGCAGGATTATCAAACTCATTAAGGGAGACATTAGTCACAGAACAATAGTGAAATAATTATCAGTAGCTATTTCAAAATGACTTACCTACCATTTTTATAATGTAAAATAATGAAATCTATCAAGAGAAATAATAGATTCTCTATGACTCAGAGAGTATAACCCTAGGTTGTTTTTAGGCTCCAATGCATGCAAATACATTAAAGAAGATAATAACATAGTGACCAACACTGATCTTAGAGCACCAACACAGTGGTTTAATACAATTCCACTGAATTCCCTAGCCTGCCCCTTTAACTAGACAGACTACATGTTTGGATACTATGAAAAACGAAACCTAAAAATGAGGGAAACAGGACATGGACTGAGAACTTGCAAAACTTTAAATGTGGAAAAAGTGCACATCTGGACACATCTTAGTAATTATTTCAGTAACTGTTTTAGTATCTGAGTATTTTTGTAGTGTGAGAAACAAAAGCACATTTCCTACTTACAAAATTTCACTCAAGAGGAATCCAGGTGAGTGGAGCCTCACCCTACACCAATGTGCCCAGGCAAGTGGGGGAACTCCAGCTACACAATAGGACCCCGACTAGAGAGCACACGATGGACAGGCAAGACTAGGGGCATAGAAAAGTCCAAAATATGAGCCAACAGGTGGTAAGTTAGGTGAACCAGTATTGTGTTTAGGGACAAAAACACATGGATCAGAAGAAAGTGGGCAGGGCCAACCCCCTTTTAAAATTTTTTTAAAATTTTAATTTAATTTTATCTTGTTTTATTTGTTTTTATTGTACTTTCTTTTCTTTTTCCTTTTTGCTTAATTTATTCTTCTTTTTTCTTTTTCTCTCTTTTCTAAATGGCTAAGGAAAACTCTAACCACAGAAAACTAATCTCATCCCCCAAAACCCAGAGATCGAGTTCAGATAATCCCTCAATTACTCCTTCATTCTTTTCCCTCTTCTCTAGTTTCCCAAACCTTGTGTGATCATCCTTTGCCCTCCACCCTTGCTTCTACCTCCTTTCCAGTTATCTTTGTTTTATACACTATCCTCCCTCAATTTCCCCATCACAGATGAAAATCACTCTATCAATGGGAAACACTTTTCATACAAACTCTTAATTTATGATCAGTCCTATTATATAACTATAGACTTTGCTCTATGGTCTAAAGTACAAAATCAATAGTTAACACAGTTTGTCAGTTTTTAAACTATGCTTGATGCTAATTTTATTGTTAATTATACTACTTTGGCTAAGATGTCATATCTATTGTAATCACGTATTCTCCCTTCTGTAACAATACTGGAAAGCTCTGGGGTAATAACCTCATCACAGCCCAACATCAAAGGATTGGGGACTGAGCCAAACAGATACCAAAGTTCCATACCTAATTAATTGGGAAGGTAGGATCTTGGGACTGACACAAACAAAGAACCTCCTACACACAGAAGGTATTCCTGAAGAACAGACTTTTCCTAGAGAGGCCTTTATACTAGTGATATAGCTACCTACTTAAAAAACTCACAAAGATCAATACAGAAAACAAAATTAAAAATTTTTTGAAATAGAAAATGACAAGACACAGAAGCAAAATGCAATCTCAGACTTCTAGCCTACCCACAAAAATTTCCAGGGCACATTGACATAGAGGTAACTGGAGGACACACATCTGGAATTTCTGAACTGATAGCAACTGAAGGCAAGAAACAAATCCATGAGACTATAGATAAAATCAGATCAGAAATAATTTGTCAGGTAAACAAAAGAAATGACAACCATATGAAAGGATTGCTTAGCATATCTAGAGAAAACATAAAAAAGAGGAGCATAGGAAAATGATGGAAACTTTGAGTGAACAATACAGGAAAGAAACAGAATGCATGAAATGGATTCAAAAAGATATCCAGGAAATTAAAAATTCCATTGAAAGCTGGCAAAACTGCTTGAATGAGACTGAAGATAGACTTTCAGATCTTGTTGATAGGATCATTGCTAGTGATTACAAAAGGAAGGATCTCTGAAAAATAACAAGGGACCAGGAAACAACAACTCAACAGCTGCAAGATGATGCAAAGATAAGCAATATAAGACTGAAAGATGACAATGAAAAAGCAGGAGTCAACATAAATGACATAAAAAGCTTATTTGCAGAAATAATAGCAGAAAATTTTCCAAGCACGGGAACAGAATCAGACATATAGTAAGTGAAGCATATAGAACTCCAAATAGCCATGACCAAAATAAATCTTCACCCAGACATATAATAATCAAGATCCCATAAATTCAGCACAAGCCAGAATATTAAAAAGCTGTTAGAGAAAAGAAACAAATCGCCTATAAAGGAAAGCCCATTACAATCATGGCCAGTGTCTCAATACAAACTTTCAAGTCAAGAAGAGCATGGAGTGAAGTATTTCAGGTCTTGAAAGAAAACAACTTCCAACCCAGATTGATGTACCCTGCAAAACTATCTTTCATAATTAATGGAGAAATAAGATACTTCCATGACAAAGAACAACTGAAGAAATTCATAACCACAAAAGCAGCCCTACAAAGAGTACTGAAAAATATTATAGATGGAGATAAAGATGACCACAATTCCAAGAACAACATCAGAAAGAAATCACCAGGCAGGGTAAGCAACTAAACAGAAGGGAAAAGCAGGGACCCAGAGCAGGAAAATAACATGACAAAGATAAACTAATACATACCAGTTATAACCATCAATTTAAATGGTTTCAATTCACCAATCAAAAGAAACAGGATGACAGAATGATCAAGAAACAAGATCCAACCATATGCTGTATATAAGAAACATATTTAACTCAAAAGGAAACTCATAGGCTGAATGTCAATGGATGGAAAAAACAATTCTACATGCAACAAGAACCCAGAAAAAAGCAGGGATAGATATTCTGTTTGCTGAAAATGTGAACTTCAATCAAAGAATGATAAAGAGATAAAGAAGGTCACTACATACTTATTAGGGGGAAACTTAAAGAGGAAGAGATAACAATCGTAAATACATATGCACCAAATATGGGAGCACCTAACTGTATAAGACAAAAGTATTAATAGACATGAAAAATCAAATAAGCAATAACTGAATTGTAACAGGAGAACTTAACATGCCATTGTTACAATGAAATAGATCAACTTGATAAAAAACCAGCAAAGAAGTAACAGAACTGAACAAAACCTGTGAACAAATGGACTTACTAGACATTTATAGAGTACTCCCCCCAACAATATCAGAATACACATTCTTTTCAGCTGCACACAGGATGTTGTAAAATAGACCGTGTATTAGCCCATAGAACATACTTAAGTAAATGCAAAGGGATTGAAGTTATCCCATGCATATTATCTGATCATAGTGCAGTGACATTGGAAATTAATGGCAAGAGAAACCTCAAAAACTCCATAAACACATAGAAATTAAATAACACCCTCCTGAACAGCCAATGGGTCACAGATAAAATTAAAGAAGAAATTAAACAATATCTACAATCAAACAAATATGCAAGAACAACTTACTGAAACCTGTAGGATGCAATGAAAGCAGTCCTAATAGGGAAAATTATAATGGTGAATGCTTACATTGAGAAAATAGAACAAGCACAAATAAACAACATAATGCTGTACCTCAAGCTTGTAGGAAAAGAAAAGCAAGTCAAGTCCAAAGCCCATACAAGGGAGGATATTATAAAGATCAGAGCTGAAGTTAATGCAATTCAGACTAACAAAACAATACAAAGAATTAATGCATCGAAAAGTTGGTTCTTTGAAAGAATAATAAATTTGATAAACTCCTAGCCAACCTTATCCAAAAAAAGGAAAGAAAAACTCAAATTCATGCAATGAGAAATAAAAAGGGTGAAGTCACCACAGATCTTGTGGAAATTCAGAAGACCATCAATGCCCACTTCAAAAATCTCTACTTGAAAAGGATGGAAAACACAGAAGAAATGGACAGATTTCTAGAAATGTATGGATTACCAAAGCTGAATGAAGAAGATATAAAAATTCTGAATAACCTAATATCAGTTAATGAAATTGAAAATGTAATTAAAAACTTACTAACAGAGAAAAGCCCAGGTCGTGATGGATTCATGACTGAATTTTACAAGAAATTTAGAGAATATTTAACAACAATATTCCTCAAACTCTTCAACAAAATTAAAAGGGAAGCAATTTTACCTAACTCATTTCTGGAGGCAAGTATTACCCTGATACCAAAACCAGACAAAGATGCAACCAAAAAAGAGAACTACAGGCCAGTCTCCCTAATGAACATAGTTGGGAAAATCCTCAATAAAATATTACCAAACAGAGTGTACCAAATCATCAAGAAGATTACACACCATGACAAAGTGGGATTCACCCCAGGAATGCAGAGATGGTTCAACATACACAAATCAATAAATACAATACACCGTAACCACAGAGTCAAAGACAAAACCACATGATCATCTTAATAGCTACAGAAAAAGATTTTGATAAAGTTCAACACTATTCATGGTAAAAATGCTACAGGAAATCAGAATAGATGGTCTTTA